GGGCGCGGGGCCTGGGGCCTGAGGGGAGGCCTGCGAGGCCTGTTAGGCCTGTGGGGAGGCCTGAAGCCTGAGGGGAGGCCTGTGCTGGGGCCTGTGTCGGGGCCTGTGTGGAGGCCTCCTCCCTGGCCCCCGGGGGAGCTCTGCCGGTGGCGTCTCTTCACCTCCGCCTTCCCCCATTGTTCGTGCAGCATCCAGACGGCAGGGGAGAGGCCGGGAGCCATGCATGGGGACGGGCTGCCAGCCGGAGGGGGCTCCATGGTTCTGCCCCGCGCGCCTGCTGCGTCCAACGAAGCCCTGGGCCTGGCGGAAGGTAGGAGAGCTCGTGAGGCCGGTGACTCACGGGGAAACGGCGTTTGGTCGGTGGCCACGGCCGTGTTTCCTGGGGCGTTTGTACAGTTTTCAAAAGGGAAACCCACCATCAGTAGTTCAGCAGCCCTCACCATCCAGCAAAAGGTTGCTGGTATCCCTTTATTTCTGGTGGATGCAACAAAACGTTGAGAGGTTCCCGTTTAAGCGATTGCAGCTTGTATCTATATATAGAACAGAACACATTCTGAGCAGCTGGGTGTACGACGGGGCGTGTAAGAGTAGGGCCTCCTTTGGTGTGTTAGCGCCTGAGAGCAGCTTTGCGTGGAAGTAGGTGTCAGGAGGAGGTTTCAAGCCCTGACGTGTTTGAGAGCAGCTCTGTGGCTCTGCGGGGCTGACGGAGCAAGCAGGCAGCCGCAGGAACGCTCTCGGCTCGGAGATGTGGTCTCTCCAGTTGTCCTCTCTGTTTGAGGGACTAGCGGGGGAAAAAACATTGTATCATTCACAATGACCCTTTGGTTTTGTAACCCCTTGGCAACTTCGCTAATGAGTGCCCAAACAGATGAAGTGTATTAAAAAAAGTAGAAAATAAAATTGGGAGAGATGGTTAAGAAGAGGGACAGAAAGCTCCCGAGGTCTGACACCAGAGCCCTCAGCCCCTTGCTGGGTTTCCCGTCGGTTGGGAAGCACGTTTCCCATAAAGGGCTGGTCTCCAAGTCCTTCAAGTTCTGAAAGAAAGCCCCACCCCGCCATTAATCCAAATACTTTTTCACTGTCAAAAACATTTCTGCATTGTTAGGGCAGACCATGTAACGGTACAATTTAGTTCCTGTGTGCTTCATTCTGCCAGAGTTGGTTCTGCTGAACCACAGCCCCCGGGATCGCAGAGGAGGGGTTTGGTTTGTTTTTTTTTTCGCGTGTGGTTAGATGGCATCATCTCTTTCCATAGAAGAGCAAGGAGCTCACAGAACGCTGTGTGTCATGAGAGCTTGAGGAAGTGACAGGAAAGGAAATTAAAACTAGATGAGTAGGCAAACACAGACTGCTGTCCTCTGAACCCTGCTAAGAAGGTGTCCTCTGTTCATCACGCCGGAGTGGGAGAGCTGCGTTACAGAGCTCAGGAACTTGGAAGTGCGGATTTTTGTCACCTCAAAGGTGTATTTCCATGTGAATTTGCGAGATGGCTTCTAGGACAATGCAGACCACAGTCTGTTGGATGTGCTTATTCACCTTCTTGTTTTCAAAACTGTGATTTAAGAATATTTAGATTATGTCTTTAAGAGTTTTCCCATCATGAATGAGGGCTAGACGCTCCTGTTTCAGAGGAGAACTGCCCAAATCCCTCCGGCCTCGGGAAACCAAACTTTGTACTTCCCAGGTTGCCCCGCGAGATGGCTTCTAGGACAATGCAGACCACAGTCTGTTGGATGTGCTTATTCACCTTCTTGTTTTCAAAACTGTGATTTAAGAATATTTAGATTATGTCTTTAAGAGTTTTCCCATCATGAATGAGGGCTAGACGCTCCTGTTTCAGAGGAGATGGAGAGAGGGCTGTTCCCATGCTGTGTGAAGTGCTGGGCCTTTAGGGAAGTGACCACAGTGGTGAGGGGTCAGAGCCCCTCCTCGGCACTGCCCTGAGGAGAGAGAGCTGCAGCTCCGGGGGGCCCTTAGCGATGCCACCCCAGCTTTAGGGCTAGACGCTCCTGTTTCAGAGGAGATGGAGAGAGGGCTGTTCCCATGCTGTGTGAAGTGCTGGGCCTTTAGGGAAGTGACCACAGTGGTGAGGGGTCAGAGCCCCTCCTCGGCACTGCCCTGAGGAGAGAGAGCTGCAGCTCCGGGGGGCCCTTAGCGATGCCACCCCAGCTTTTTGGGAACGGCACCGGGCACAGACTGTTTGCCCTGGAGCAGGTGGTGGATTTGAACTGTTCTGAGCCCCACAGGCAGCACAACTCGGTCCCAGTTTTAGGTGTTTCCTGCTCTGACGTGGCTTTCTGCTGGCCACTGCCAATAAACACTCTGGTCCCACTGCTCTCACAGCCTACTTGGGCAGTGTGTGGGGGGCAATATAAATTTGTCTGGGGGGCAGGAAGAGCAGATAAAAGCTTAACTGTGCTCCCCTGGGCTGAGCCGTGCTCAGAAACACGCAGGGAATTCCTCACAAGCTGCTCTGGGGAGGTTCAACGGGGGGGGCTTAAGGTCCCTTCCCACCCAAACCACACCGTGAGCCTGTTCCACCAGGTAACCGTTTGTGGGAGCGCTCTGGGGTACAGCACTGACATCACACTGAACACACACAGCAAAACACCGGAGCAGCACCCGTGACAGTAAATAAATCACGTTTAATTGTGCCCGGTGCCCCCGTGCTCCCTCCGGTGTCACTCTCCCTGTCCCATCCCCCCCACCGAAACACGGGGCACCGGCAAACCCCACCCCGGCTCTCACCTGGTCCGGGCTACGGCAAGGAGCACGTTACAGCCGGAGAGGGCCATGGTGCCACGGAGTCAGCGGCTCTGCCGGGCGGCGGAGGGACCCTCATCTCCGGGAGCGGCGGCCGGGGAGGCTCGGGGGGCGCCGGGGCCCTCCCTGCCGCGGGGCCGGGCCCTGCAGGACCCGCCGGGGCTCTGGCACATCACCGGCCGGCTGCCGGGAGCGAGGGGAGAGGTGAGGGGGGACGGGAACAGCACCGGGGGCTCCCCACAGCCCGCCGGGCCAGGCCGCGCCCCCTCCTCGCGCCGCTCCCGGGCCCCCTCCCCATCCCCGCCGGCCCCGCTGTCCGTCTCCCAGCCCGATCCCGCCCCCCGGCTCCCTCCCGGTCCCCGCTCACCCCCCCTCC